ACATTCTAAATTGTCCGTAGGTGTGAATGTGAGTGTGCTTGGTTGTCTGTCTCTAAGTGTAGCCCTGTGATAGACTGGTGACCTGTCCAGGGTGTCCCCTGCCTTTGCCCTAAGTCAGCTGGGATAGACTCCAGCCCCCCCGTGACCCTAGTGAGGATTAAGCGGTGTATTGATAATGGATGGATGGATTTCATCACATTTGAATGTTTTGGGAATTTTTGGTGTGAAAATGGTCAAAATGGTTATTTGATAATCAAGGTTAGGGTTACCTGACTAACTGTCGCAGCTCTAAATGCATCCACTAGGTTACTGTATAGATTCAAAAATAGTACTTTTGCCTTTGAATTTTTAATATTTTGCTGCTAAAACTTAATCACTGTCACTTGACGGACTTTTTAAAAGCAGGACTTGTAACAGGGCAAAACATCTGAGCTCTTCCACTGCTGCATTGCCTGTTAAACGCTTGGCCTTAATCGACCTCTGAAGACCTTGACAATTTCCTGCTGCCAGCGAAGCATTTTATACGCCAAAGAGTCAGCTGAACGTTCAGGTCAACTTCTTCATCCTGCTGGTGGAGTTCAGGAAAAGAAGACACAAAAGGTGGAGGAAAGGTTCAGATGATATAGTAAAGTGATATAAAAGTCACATTCATTTGTCTGGATGACATGAAGACATGCGACGGCACGTTAAACCAACAAAATGCCACATAATCACTGTGTACTCTACTTTTGCATCTTTTCTGCAACTGACTCATGATATCTTAATTACTGTTTAAGCAGCAGTTTGTGTACAAACCGTCTGCGCCCTTATTGGATTTACTGACTTGCATAAACAGAAACCAGACACAGATTTGCTCCGTCAAGCCCTTAGTTGGCGGAACGAGTGGAACGAAGTAAATCTATAAATGTTTTGCAGTATTGAAGTTACTGGAATTCAGCCATAATATCCTGCTACATATACAAAAAGATGTTTTCAACTCCACTTCATCAGTGTTGATAATTCAGTTAAAGGAGCATTATGCCTGGGAGTCGTGCAGTTTTGCCCAGTTTGGATGTTCTGGTTTCAGTAACTGACAGAAATTGCAGGGAGTGGTACAAAAACTCTGGATGACATCACAGATACTTCATGTTTTTTTGCAGTCAAGCTGAGATGAGTTCATGCGTCCTTTGGCCACACTTGGCTCAAGTTATTCTAAAGCTCTGGAAGTTAGACTCATTTTCTGTACAGACGATGTGCTACAGGTTAGACAGCTGCTCGCCTCAGCCTGTAGAGCAACAAAACTTCACTGCGCTTTTAATCCTTTGTAATGAATTAGTAGAGTTACAGTAAAAAAAAAAAAAAAAAGTCTTTTCAAGTTTGTTGAACTTTGATCTGCAAATTATAGCAGTATAGACACTCCAGACTTCACGTGTTTGCGATTTTAAAATAAATTCTATACATTAAAGTGCCAAATCTAATCTTTAGTTTGGGTAAGTTTACACCAATACAGAAAGAAATGGTGTAGGAGATGTAGACCTTTAACTGGATAAGTGTTTTTGAGTTCTACGCTGCCTTGAATTGGAACCTGTGATGACAACAGATCGGGTGCAACAAGTGTTAACGTCGACTACAAGTCATGAGAACACCACTGCTGGGCAACAGCACCACGGA